ACCCCTCCAACCTGTGAAATCCAAGATCTGTCAAAGTAAAGAACCTGCTAATTGTTTATGTACCTGCTTTTGTTCTGTACAGCTTGAAAAACACTAAGTTAAATAAACTTATTCACACACTTTGCAGCACTTTTAATTCATTGATGAGAAACAACTTTAAAGATTTTCCTGTGCTCTGACCGGCGTAAAACTATCCTTCACTAGCTGGTGACCCGCACACACTGAACTATCCTTCACACGCCTGCAGTAGATAAGCCTGCCAACTTACATCTGTTGTGTCTTGAAATCCATCCGGGCTTCATTCATGCAGTACGTGTTCAAGACACTTATGTACAACAAGCCATAGCCAGCTGTACATTATTTCACAGAGTACAAGCTATAAACCAAGCCAAATTGTGCCCCAGGTTTCCAGATAAGGACAGGTAGGTAGATAGATAGATAGATACGAGTAAATAAGAGATAGATAGATACACAGGTAGAATGATAGATTGATAGATAGATATATATTCAGGTAGAAGTGTTATCAGCTGTAAACTGACCGACTCGACTGAATGGAGAAAGTTAAGGACAGGTTTCGCTAGAAATCATTAACAATAAAATGTAATTATCAGGCCGTACTTGTTTTTTAAATAAAAAAATAGATAAAAGACATTTAAGGTTTATTCCTTTTAAATATAAGAATACAAATATGTAAATGTATAATATATAAGAAAAAAAATATGTGATATTATATGAAAAAATATAAAATGTAGAATAGGTGGATTTTGAATAAATAGAAAGAAACAAAAACAATCATTTTTATAAAATGTTTAACAGAATTATTTTTTTTAGGGATTCTCTTGTTCTTCGACAACTTCCAGGTTCTCTTGGTTCTCAGATTCTTCACTTTGACTCTCAGATTCTTCAATTTGGTTCTCAGATTCTTCACTTTGGTTCTCAGATTCTTCACTTTGGTTCGCAGATTCTTCACTTTGGTTCTCAGATTCTTCACTTTGGTTCTCACAGATTCTTCACTTTGGTTCTCAGATTCTTCACTTTGGTTCTCAGATTCTTCACTTTGGATCTCAGATTCTTCACTTTGGTTCTCCAGTGTTTGAGGTTCTGGTTCTTGCTCCAGGTTCCTGGATTTATACTGAGGATTGTTATCAGCAGATATTCCCCAATCCTTGATCCTTGGATCCAAATCTACAATTCTCTGGTTCACTAATCTAAAATGTTAAATAAAATTAAAAAGAAATGGTAAATAAAATAAATTCTCTTATAAAAGATTTACAATATTGTCCTTTAACCCTTTATCTAAACAATATATAGTAGCATCTTAGTGATATGGGACAAATATTGACCATTGTCTTGCTCATTGCAACGCTTTGCAAACCAGCGAATTGTTGAACCCGTATAAAGCAGGGGTCAATATAATTCCCAAAAAAGCTGATTTTCTCGATCCCAAAATAATTTTTTGCCCCCAATTTTGAAAAAAAAATGCCCCCAATTTTTAAAAAAAATGCCNAAATAAATAAATAAATAAATAAATAAATAAATAAATAAATGAATAAATAAATAAATAAATAAATAAATATTTAAATAAGTAAATATATATATATTATAAATAATTGTTGTAAATGAATCTTTACTATTTCATTTATCTCTGTCATTGCCTGCCGTTTAATATAAATACTTACTCTGTAATCCGTCTTACTTATCAGGATATACAGGGATACAGAGAAACTGGGATACAGGGCTGCAGTGATACAGAGAAACAGAATACAGGAATGCAGGGATACAGGGATACATGGATACAGGGATACATGAATACAGGGATACATGGATACAGGGATATAGAAATAAAGGAATGCAAGTATACAGCCACAGGCATACTCACTCCTGTATCCCGAGTCCATTAGCGCCTGATCCAATCAGGGTTCAGTCATGTGTTTGTTGTCTATTCTGAACCAAAAGAAAAGAACAACAACATAAACCGGTTTTACCTGAGTTTACTTGGTCCTGCATCTACCCACTCATTGATACAATGTACATAATATCTCAAATCTCGTACACCCTGAATAATAGTAGTGTACATAATATCTAATATCTCGTACACCCTGAATAATAGTAGTGTACATAATATCTCATATCTAATAATAGTAGTGTACATAATATCTCATATCTCGTACACCCTGAATAATAGTAGTGTACATAATATCTCATATCTCGTAAATAGAAAGAACATGATTAATTAAGGGTGTCCTTTTAATCTGGTTAATTTACAAATTGCAGTAACTTTGTTATTGTTTGGAATGTTTCTAATCTGTAAACAAATTTGAGTAATCAAAATAGGAACGTTTTGTTTTATATAATAAAAATTCACAATTATAATGCCCAAAAAATGCCCAAATTCAGTAATCTTATTTGAGTCAGTCTACTATATAGTAAAGCTCTTCTCTCATATATATATATATTTTTGAATATTTATATGTTACTTTACTTATAGCTGGCCAAACGTCTGGACCAAATGGCCTGAATTTTTTTGAGGAAACACATTGGTACCATAGGCTAAAAAAATAATTTTTTTCAGAAATCGATATTTCTGTTTTTCGAAAATCTATTTTTTAAATTCCACGGGCAACACCGGGCACCCTAGTCCTAGCACTCTCATCTTTGAAACTATCACCGTAAAATTTTATGATTTTTAATGAATAGTAATTTAAAGGATTTTTTGTAAAAACATTTGTCTTGAAATTTATAGGGTAGGGTACAGGGTGAAAAAAAGTCCGGTCTGTGAAAAAAAAATCTAAAATAGCCCATAACTTTTTTGCGACAAAAGCTACAGATCTAAAAACTATATTTTTTAAAAGCCCATAAAAATGCATGTAGAAACATGTGTCACATTTTGATATTTGTTTGTTTTTCCCTTTTTTGGCATTTTATTCACCCTCCCTACTCTCTAGCATCCAAACTATTAAAGTTATCGGACTAGTTTTTTTCTTTGTGCTGGCCATGAAAAATTAGGCTATGCACATGCATTTAAACCCTTTTCTAGGGGGCGTCGTCAAATGCCCTCCCCCCAGGCTATACATAGATTCAGACCCCCCAGCCTCTATAGGGTTAAGCTAGTATCTCATAAAATTGAATCCATCTGTCTTTACTTACATCGAAGCAAAGAGCATCATTTGGTGATGAAATATATCCATTACATTCCCCAGCTTGCTCTTTATGTCCAACATGCCAGAAGGTCCCTGGAATACATTTTCTTATTATTCATCAAGAATAAGGTCCCTGGAATACATTTTCTTATTTTTTATTAAGAATAAGGTCCCTGGAATACATTTTCTTATTATTTATCAAGAATAAGGTCCCTGGAATACATTTTCTTATTAGTTATCAAGAATAAGGTCCCTGGAATATATTTTCTTATTATTTATCAAGAATAAGGTCCCTGGAATACATTTTCTTATTATTTATCAAGAATAAGGTCCCTGAAAAATATTTTTTTTTTTCTTAATAAGATTAATTCGACTAAATGTTTCCTTTTCAAGGGAGTATTTTCGAAAAGTGAAAGGGTGTGTACTGTGTTGGCTGAATCCGAATTAAATTTAGAATTTCAACCATGCTCTTTATAGACGCTATAGATAAAAGTAAAATTAGTATTATTTGATTCTGTTGAAGCCTATAACCTCTTTCAATTTTGGCGAACACTCCCTTCAACATGAAATAAGTTAATTCAAAAAAAATATTTATGGACTATCAACGTGACATCAAAAGACTCTCTCTAATAATAGAACTCTTGAGACTGTTTTGAGTAATATGGACAAGATATCGTAATTTTTTTTGATTCTTATAATTTCCTTCATTTTCTTAGCGTTTTTACGAGCAAAAATTGTTTTCGCCCCATAAACATCAGAATTGAGAGAAAGTCGTCTTTGATTTCTGATATATGATGTGTACGTCTTACAAGCTTTTCACAGAGTGGTCTATACCTTTCTTGTGTCTTCAAACGAAGATATTAGATATTATAAGACAATTTTGATTTTTTAAATAAATTAAAATTTGTATAAATCTTGCAATATCTCTGTCAGTTTTAAAGATACAAAAATGGTAAACCTCATTTTGAAAATATCAAGACCAGGCGCATTTGATATTAGATAGGTAAAATGTAATATTGCAATTGTTATGTTCATATGTTCATGAAAAAAATGGATATAAGACGATTTAAAAGTCGTCAATCATTTTCCCATGTTTATTGGGACGTATAACAATATTATAAACTTACCACACCAAGTAATAACAAAGTCAGGGTCTGTATCACTTATCCATGTATTTCTTCCACCAACAAGTGTGTTTGTTATAGTGTACGTTCCAAGCTTAATAAAAACGATAATATTTAAGTATTCTATTATTGTTGTATTTGTATTTTCATATCGAGCTATACCGAACAGAACATTTTTTTGGACCAAAACGCAAAGAAACCGAACACCTAATATTTGATATTTCTTATATCTTTGCAATCTGACGTCGTAGATCTTAAATATTTCAAACTATGAATTCTGCTGGATTAAATTGTCATCTAGGTATCTATCTACGATATAGAGATTAGAAAATTTGAATTCAACTTTGTTTACATTTTTGTTTCATAGTGTTCGAGGCGTTAACGAAAGAATATTATTAATAATTAATTATTTATATGATAATAATAAATTATATTTAAATACGATTAATATATAAATAAAAATAATAAAATATATTATATAATTAATTATATAAATGTAAATCTTTTTTTAACCTTGTTAAAGTGAATCATCCAAATTCCATGGTTTTCCTCCGCTTCCAATCCAATTCTATGACAGCACGGGGTTCCTACACAAATTTAATCTATTAAAGGGACCGTTCACTTATTTGAATAATTTCGGGGTAAACTAAATAGCTTATTAGCTGTTGGTCTTACTTTTCAACTGTGGCCGCAGAAAAAGTCGATTATTTTGTTTAGAATTCGAGCGCAAAGGGACAGTCCCTTTGTCTTTACACTATTTGATGTTTTTTTGTCGAGGTCATGGATTAAAAAAAAAAAATTCGAACAAAAAATTAAACTGTACCCTAGAAACCAGAGGACGTCCTAAGGTCGTCATGAGGATGTCAAAAATTACCAGTGCGAAGTCCGGCGACGTCGTATTTTAGGTGTTGAGGACGTTTAACGCAAGGATTCTTACCTCCTCACGACCTAATTTTCGAAATCGAATTGAAATAGTATTTAATAGTTAATTGTAAATGTCATAATTAGAAAAAAATTTAACATTTTGGGTTGCTTCTCTGTAAAATGCCAAATAGAAAGCGGTATGAAAAATGAAAGGTTGTGGAATACTGGATTATAAATTATAATTGGGTAGTTGATAATAAATTAGACAACTGATTGATGGGTGTCCTCATCCAAGGGGTGGGGGGCGGAACTAAGTTTTTGACCTTTCTGGCAATAACAGATATCGATTGGAGAACTGACAGAAGCTGTGTATATGTGACAGTAGAGTAGAGATGTCAACTTTCTGATTTTTCTAGATTTTAGCTTTCGTAACGATAAAGTTCATCAAAAGTATAAACGTTTGAAACGTTACATTGCACATTATGAAATTTTATGGCATAGGGTAACGTTATTTAATGAATTTTCTGAACTTGAATACCTTATACAGCGTTAGTGAAAAAATAATCTCCGTTACGCATTTGCATTTCCTGTTTTTAAAAACTTTCCCAACGTTGCGTTAAAGCTTTAGTTCCACTTTCATGAAAGGTTAAATGTTTTCAGAGACCTTAGGTTATGTTTTATTTTAACTTTTCCAATATAAACTTTTTTAATGTTTACAATTTCTACTAAAATTAAACTTTTCTTACTTTACGATTTATCGAAAATTATTGTGATAACCCTTTTTTTGTTACACTATTTTACAACTGGTAATCAAAACTGTTTATTCGTTTCTAAGAAAGATGAAACATTTTTCTATACTTTACGTTGTATTAAAATGTTCAGGCCTTAACGTTTCTTACGTTACACTTCATTAAAAATAACATTGTTTTCTAATGAAAGCATACAAGATTTTTTTCGTGATAATTACATTCCTACTTTAGTATTTTTCATCCTAAAACATGAACCATGCAAAAAAAATAGTGTCGTTAATCCCTTTTTTACTCACCCTGTATGTTTCTTTTGTAAATTGTTAACATTTTTAGAGAATGTGTAGAGGAATGCAGCAATATAAAGATTATAATATAATTATTTAAACGGTTTTCAAAATTCGTGAATGAAAGTTTTTAAGCATAAGACAATTAAAACCCAAGGGTATGTCTTAAAGGGACTAGAGACGTAATTTCAAGTGACCTTCCATTTATGGAGTGGCATGTCCAGCATACATTTACAAGATAGGAAAACGCTGGTATTTTCACATCATCAATCAGTTAAAGGTATAAACGTTATTATTGGGAATCAAGCATGACCCTCTTTAAATGGAGGATCACTTGAAATTATCATCGTGTATTTGACGAGCTCAAAAAATAGACATGTTTTGGGAAACTTCATAAAATGAATTAAAATTCGGCAAGACAAACCACTTTTGCATGTGGAATAGTAGTTCTAAATTATTTTGCGATAATTTAGGGTTAATTTTTTCTTTTTTACTCAATGCAAATTGACCCTCCGGTGGACTTTCTTTTATCTAAAAGAATTCATAGTTTGAAATATCTAAGGTCTACACCATTGGGTAGCAAAGACATAAGGATTAGAAATATAAGTTTGTGACAATTCCTTTAGACTGAAGTAAGGGGCAAATGCAAAAGATTTTTTTTAATAAAACAACGCGAAAAAAATTTTGTAACACTTTTTCTTTTTTTTACGTTGTGAGGACTGACGTTGGGAGGTAAGATTTTCGTATATATGTTGTGTATAGCCGGCCAATCGACTGAACCGATTGGGCTGAATTTTGTTATGGACACTCAAGGGTGGCCGGGAGGTGTTATAGGCTAAACATTTTTTTCCAACATTTGTTTTCAAAAATGTTTTTTTTAATATTTTTTTCCACGGGCAACGCCGGGCCCTTCAGCTAGTATAGAATGTAACCAAACGTTTTATATTATTGTAAATTAACGTACAAAAACGTACATTTTACCAAATAGAGAGCGGTTCGATCTCCTATCCCGCTCAGAAAGTTGAAAAATAAACTTTTTCGGATTACTCACAAATGCATCATTGCAAGTAGGATGTATATTTTATTTACATCGAACGCAGAATTCTACGAATTTTGTAATGATTTATTGATTGTCGTAGAGAACGTCGTCTTTGTATATACATTTTATACGTTTTAATATGAAAAACGTAAATTTATTACTAGCTCAAGTATTAAAAGTTTTCATAATTTTTTATATAATCCATTTCTATTTTGTTTTATTGTTTTAATGATTTACGAAAAATTCTGTCATTGCGCATATTAAGTAAATATGGCTTTAATTTTGATGGATTTTTTTTTAAAGTGATTTATATACATTTCTCAATTTTTGAATTGGATATCATTATCTTTATATATTATGAATAAATATATTAATTCTGACAGTGATTAACTCTGATATATTGCAAAAAAATTTAAATTTACAAGGTGAAGCACTAAATATGACATTTGAGAGACGATTTTTAATATTTTTAGACAGTGAAAAATTGTATATCTAAAACCTTGAAGAATTATATTCCAATGCAATACAGAGTTCAGAAAAAAACTTATCCTTTGAAAATATTTCTTTCTTGTAAAGTGGTGTACTACAAGGGCATCCAAAACAAATTTTTTTTTCAAAATTAGCCAAATATAACTGAAAGATGTACGAACAAGAAGAAAATGAAGAACAAGATATATAGAAATCTAAAAATATTTTCATAATATTGTAAAATTCATTTAAGAAAAATTATTAAAGTTAAAAATATTTCTGAAATGTAAATGTTAACCTGTATCTCTTGCAAGAGCAGCAATTTCCCTAAAATAAAAAAAAATAAAAAAAATATTTTTTCTTTTTAAATTTAAGGTTTTTACCTAAAATCAGAAAAAGCTCTTCCTTTGTCTAAATCCATAGGGTCAATGCTATCGTTATCTTCAATATCATTTCCTGTGTTTTCTCCCTAGTTTAGAACGAATTATTTGTATTTGCAGTAAATATTTATATGTACATTTTTATGTGACAGAAAGCCAATTTTTCAATGTGGAGGGTGGGGGAGTTAATTTAAAGAAAAATATTACTAAAAAATCTTTTCGATACCAAAAAATCAGTTAAAAATTCAAAGAAAAAAGGTTTAATAATTGGAGAAACTAACTTAACAAGCCATATTAAGAGATTTAAAGACATATTATGTAAAAAAATATAATTATAAAATAATAATTCTTTTCCTCTGATTTTAGTTTATAAGCTCCAGTAGGCATTACTAAGGAGCCTGCTGTACATACTACTATTGCACGAAATATCATCTTTAGTCTGAAATAATATTTTTCTATATTCTAGATGATACAAGTACAAACGTCGGACCCACAAACGTCGGACTGGTACAAAAGTCGGACAGTACAAACGTCAGACCAGTACAAACGTCGGACTAAAAACTTATTTCCTTTTAGCAACTGCAGTCTAACACAAATCTACCCAAATGAACTGAGGTCTTGCCATTAACTCAATATATCTTTGCAACCTGGTAATGGTATTAACTTTTGATACTTTCACACTTAAACTGTTATCTTATAAGTTTTATAGTTTAAAAGTTATGGTTTTACGACATCGGGTAGCAAAGATATAGGCATACTGAAACATCAGAGTGTGTGAGAATTGAACTCAACTCTTTTTTGGTCTGTTGTTTAATACAGTGCAGCTACCTTCAAAGGATGAGGCTTTATTCAGTTGTCTTTGATTTTTATAACAATGAGTGAGTGATTTTTAATTTATTTCTTATAGCAATGGTCTTTTTTTCCAAACTCAACCAAAGTCCTACGTTTTACCTTAAAAATGTACCCGTCCGACGTTTGTACTGGTCCGACGTTTGTACTAGTCCGACGTTTGTCTCAGTCTGACGTGTGTACCAGTCCGACGTTTGTACCAGTCCGAGGTTTGTAAGTCCAACGTTTGTACTGTCCGAAGTTTGTACTGTCCGAAGTTTGTACTGTCCGACGTTTGTACGTCTAGCTTAGAAAAAAAACTTGTCAGCTTTACGAAATGATTTTAAAGACACCTTTGGCACAGTCCACTAAACGCTAATATACCTTCGGTCAGTGTACGGCAGATTACTGCACTACTCATCGAAAGCTTAGTTGAGGGTGGTTGAATTCAGAATTAAACTGAATTAAATTAAATTAATCGCATTTTTATTTCAAACTTTGACTTTTTGAATTTGAATTATCAGGTTGCAAAGCTATGCGGATTAGAAACTAGGGGAGGTGAGTTATCTTGGAGATAAATTTTAACTGTTCAATACTTAGGAGATAAACTACAACTGTTCAATATTTTGGATAACTGTTCAATATCTTGGAGATAAACTACAACTGTTCAATATCTTGGAGATAAACTATAACTGTTCAATATTTTGGAGATAAACTTCAACTGCTCTATATCTTGGAGATAAACTACAACTGTTCAATATTTTGGAGATAAACTACAACTATTCAATATCTTTGAGATAAACTTCAACTGTTTAATACCTTGGGAATAAACTTCAACTGTTCAATATCTTGGAGATAAACTACAACTGTTCAATATCTCGGAGATAAACTACAACTGTTCAATATCTTGGAAATAAACTACAACTGTTTAATATCTTGGAAATAAACTACAATTGTTCAATATCTTGGAGACAAACTACAACTGTTCAATATCTTGGAGATAAACTACAACTGTTCAATATCTTGGAGATTAACTACAGCAGTTCAATATCTTGGAGACAAACTTCAACTGTTCAATATCTTGGAGATAAACTACAACTGTTCAATATCTTGGAGATAAACTACAACTGTTCAATATTTTGGAGATAAACTACAACTGTTCAATATCTTGGAAATAAACTACAACTGTTCAATATCTTGGAGACAAACTAGTTCAACATTTACTTTTTGATGGATGACTAAAGTTTTTAACCTAAATATTTTTTATCAACAACATCTGTATTCTGTACCTTTTAAAATACTCGTCAAAAATAAAAGTGAGGGAGAAACAGATCTTCTAAAATTTTACTACAAAATACGTTTAAAACAGGCCTTTTAAATCAATTTTTAAAAAAAATGATTAAAGTCTATTTTTTAGAAAAATTTTAAAAAATTAACCTGTACTATAACATTGACCTAGTAATCAAAAATATAATTAAAGATATTAATTATTTAGTTAATTACAATAATTAGTGCGTTTAAAAGGTCATAATTTTAAAACAAATTTTAAACCTTTTTGTATTCTATTCTATTCTATTTAAATTTTTAAATATTTCTTTATTTTCTTTATTCACAATCTGAAATGAAGTTTTATAAATGTTTAATAACAAGAATTTTTACTTGTTTTTTTAGATCAATGCCGCAACATTTTTTTTTGTAAATAGGCCTAGGCAAATTGTGAACAATAAAAACAATGCCATTTCAAAAAATTTTATTTGTTCTTATTTTTTTTTTTTAACCTTTTGATCAATTATTCTATGAATATTTTAAACTTGTAATTTAGAAACTAAAGGTGTGCCCCAAGGCCCAGACTAAAATGAAAAATAAGAATATCAAAGCCGCAGTTTCTCAGATACAAGGTTTCCCACAAAGGACTGGACTTCAGAGACGACTGTAGGGGAATTAATGAATCTCTGCAGTTGTAAGTAATTTCTTACTGATGCCAAATAAATAAAGGAGTTGGTCACTCAGCACCAAAGGGGTATATCTTCCTTAAAGATCATTATTTTTACATCTAGTTTTTTCTAAAGTAAGTCCAGTATATCCCTGAATGGTGTTCTGGCCAGGATGTACCTTGAAAAGTGCAGGGGCGCAAACTGTTGAAAAAAAGGGGGG